TGTTCTTGAGAGACAATTATTTGAAAGAGGGATCTTCTGTTGTTATGTAGAGGACAAAACATTATTGTAAGTTTAACATTTTTTTGTTTCTTATAATAATGACATTCATTTATTTCTTTTTCGTAGTTCTTTTTATCATGTGTGGCTAAATTCTTTTCATGTCGTTGTGATGTAGGATCAGTAGTTTTTCTATTATTTGTTGATATGTTTTCCATGTAACATTTTATGAGCTTGTGTGTCCTTATATTATTGGTTAACCCTATAGATTTCATTTACTAATATGGTTAATTAGGATCTTAAATTCTTTCGTGATGCATAGTGGAATGAATAGGTTCACTATAAAATCCTAGTGGAATATGCATATTCTAGTTAGGGTTTTCCAACTAGATAGGGGATTAGAAGAATCCTGATAAACACCATGGAGTTAAGCAAAACTTAACTTTATGAGTTTCTGATTCTCCCTCTAACTTAGGCATAGGTTTAAGAAGAAAACTTATCTCTAGTTAACAACAATCACATAGGAAAGCATCTAGGAAAACAACAAACCACCATGATACCGAGTCATAGAGGCATGAGTCTCATCTCTCTTGAAGAACGGTAGATTCGTTCTGCTTTTTTTTTTCTATTTTTTAAGATCGCATTTTATTTTTGTTCATTGCTATAATTTTAAGATATCAGTCTTCCATTTTGATCACGCCAAAGTAGATTTATAGAGTTAGTTAAGTAGAGATTTTTTGTTAGAATAATTCTTAGTTATTTTCTCGTGGAATTGATACGCAAAATTTGATACCACATATCACTTGACACATATACTTACGTGATTGACCAAATTACCTCGTGATACCGATTTGATACCACATATCACTTGACACATATACTTACCGAATTACCTCGTGATACCTTTTAGGTCATCATCTTTTAATGAAAGTTTACTTCAATCTAGGCTCTCTGCATTGTTTCTAAAGGACTTTTTTTCACTTGGTCCAACTCTAGAATTGCTTTTCCTATCAATTGTAAGCTCACAAAAATCTTTGTAAAGGACAATTGAATGCTGAATTATTCTTTCTTGAATGATGGTGCTTCCGCCTCATTGTTCAGTTCACTCTCCCATTATTCTCACAGCTTCTAACACCCACCCCTCATCACATATTTCTATGTAAAAAATATTAGTTCAAGCTACAAAAACTTAATACCTTATTAAAGAATATTTCAACTATGAAGTTTCAAGGAGATCATTTACATGCTCCAATGCATAAGCTTAAAACTCTCAAGCAACAAATCAAACTACTGAATGGAATTCTGAATCCTCTTTGTAAAAAGAAATTCTTGCCCTTTTTAAAGAACATGAAACTATTCTTTAAACAATGGAAAATCACTTTCAAAACCCAATCTTCTTCATATTTTAAACAATGTCAATTATAAGCTTTACACTACTTCCTCTGTCAAGCTTCATGGATTTCTCAAAGGGTTAAGATCCACTAGTTGAAAGATGGTGAACATGATTTGAAATTTCTCTTTTCTAAGATCAAAGGTGGAAGGAACAAGAATCATATCAGTTATATTCCCTCTTCTGACGACACTCTCAGTAAACATAGGGATATTGCCAAGGTAAGTATTAATTATCTTAAGAGTATTTATTTTGCATGTGTTAGCTTAGATGAATCTTGGGATCAAATCCCAGCTGGCAATATCATTCCACAACGGCTCTCGTATTATCTCATTGTGGTGTTTACTGAACAAGAGATTAAAGGTCAGTACATATGGTTTTTCCTTTAAATGCTTCAAAAAGCATTGGCACTTAGTGGGTTATGAAGTATGTGGTGTTGTCAAATACTTCTTCTACACTACTAAGTCCCTACATCTCTCAAATCTATTGCTATTTCTCTTATTCCCAAATAGTCTCATTCACATTCCTTTCAAGATTACAGGCCTATATCCCTCTAAATTGTTATTTATAAAATTATTGCCAAACTTTTGTTTAACAGAATGAGCTCGGTGTTAGCTGACATCATCCATGATTCACAAACGGGTTTTATATCCAATAGGTGTGTTGATAATAATATCATCCTTACTAATGAAATTTTAAACACTTTGAAGTCAGCCAATGTCTCCTTTTGTGCCAAACTTGATATTAAAAAGGACTTCAACATCATAAAAAGAGAATTTATTATCTCCAGACTTCAAAATAAAGGTTTTCCTATCTTGGATTAGGGCTTGCATCTTTAATATCAAGTTTTTTGTTTGAATTAATGATGCCCTTGAAGGTTTTTTTTTCTTCTACTACCAGCTTAAGGCAAGGTTTTTCTCTATCTCCTGCACTCTTCTACATTGTCATGAATGGTTTATCCAACCTTCTAGATCTTCATGTGGGTAGATGTGATTTTATTTCCTTCTCTGAGTATTAGAACTATTCCATCTCACACCTCCTTTATGTTGATGATATTATTATATTTAGTAAAGCCACACATACTAATATTTCTTCTCTTTAAAATATTTTAGAAATATTATATATGACTTCTAATCTAAAAATTAATCATTTTAAGAGTCATACCACCTTCTCTAAAACTGTTTGGAACTCTTCTCTTTTGAATGATATTCTAAATGTTCACATGATGAACCCTCATTTTATATACCTGGGAATACCATTGGCTGTTCACAAAATAAAATTGTCTTCCTTTCATCCTCTACTAGATAAAATTGGAGATATCCTAAATGGTTGGAAAGTAGATGCCCTCTCTAAAGCTGGAGAGCTTCAAATTATAAAATTCTTTTTTGGGAAACTTATTATGTATTGAGCATGTGCTCTATTCCTACCCAAAAGCCGCACCAAATTAATTCATTCTTGGTGTTTTAAATTTCCATTTCATGTTTCTATCACTAATAAAAAGTTTCATATTGTCTCTTGGGACACTATATGTAAACCAAAGAAGCTTGGTAGCCTTAGACTTCACTCCATCAAAACTATGACTTGGTTTTATGATTAAGTTTACTATTAACATCTGTAATGACATTGATAATTTTTCTAGATGATTTTCATACAACCACTTTTCTACCTGGTGTCTCAAGCCATGTGATGACACTTTCTTTTAGAAGAAAGTCCTATAGTCGTAGAGCATAAACACCAATTCTCCTTCTTTATTGGTGGCAGTGGCAAAATAAAATCTGTGAGCCCTAGGTCAATGACTTACTTGAACCTTGAAAGTTCTTTTCAATCACTTCTTGGTTTTATGGTAGCCCTCAGACCATCCAGGGCATTGAAGGTTGGAGCTGCAATGTGATTGTTGAATACTTTTATGATATTCCAAAGATTAACAACATTCAGTTTCACAATTCTTGTAATCTTTTAATTTGGAAAAACTTAAAAAATTCTAGTTTTAAGTTTATTTGTGAAATTTTTGGTTCTATCTCTCATATGTTTAACTAGAATAATATTATTTTGCAACATAGATATGCTATCAGATACTCCATCTATTCTTCATTTGTTGTTAATAATGCTCTTAAAATTGTTGACCTGCTTATAGCTAGGAACATTCAAGCTCAATGTTGCTAATGTCGTGAAGAAAATGAATCATCAAACTACCTTTTTTGCTTTCCTTGGACGCGTGAGTTTCTCCTCTATCCTGCCTTGTTTCAATTGTTAGAAGTCATTTTATAGTACGGAAAGAACTTCTAAAACTAGGAAAAGTTTTATTTTCTTACCTTACATGCTATGATTTATTTTATATGGAAAGAAAGAAATGGTAGAAAGTTTGTGGACCCAATTCACTCTCTTTTAGGTGTTCTTTTTTACACTAACAATATTGTGTTAAGGCTAAATTATGGAATTGAAAGAGGAACTAGGAATGAGAAAAACTATTTTTGCTAATTACTTTTGAGGTTTCTTTGCTTGGATGGCAAACTTCTTTATATCCCAAACTTCATTTCCCCTCAATTGTTTTTTTTTTTTCATACATCCCAAACTTCATTTCCCCTCAATTGTTTTTTTTTCATATCAATGCTGGCTTCTTCTATTTTTTTATGAGAACTCACACTAACTTGAGCTAAAAGGTACAATTTTATTTTTATGCAACATTTATTAGACTTTTTAGGATAACAAGGAAAATTTAAATGAGGAGCAATATAATGGTTTATTATTTTTGTTCCTTTCATTCTTATGTAGAGTCAAATGAATACTTCACTATGATCGGGGCATAATTTTTGCTTGTTTCTTGTACTTTTAACCCTTTGAAGACTCGAATAATCTCTTTATAGATAAGTTTACCTAACTAATCCTTAAATCCTTTACTGTTGAGCTTTGAATATTCCTGTATTTTAGATCTCTATTTTATCTTTCTTTCATGTATTTGATTCCTTTTATTGTTAATGTAAATTGAGCTCTATGCCCTCAACTTTCCAAATTAAAAAATAAAAAATAAAAATAAAAATAAAAAAATAAAAAAGATAAAAAGATAAATGCCTCACCATCACTTGTGCAAAACAACATGCAATTCATGTAACTAGAATAGACTACACTCGACCAAACAACCCCTTGTGGGGAAAAAATATTAAGTTTGGACTTATCCGAAATCTAATAGGAGGGCATCACGTATAAAGTGAACATATCACAATGTATTGAAATGAGCCAATTTTACACGTGCCAACCTCCTGTTGGGCTCCAGATGCATCCGGAGGCCAACATGAGTCCTGACCTAATATTCTTTCCCCTTTTGGGAACCAAAAACCTCCACCAATCTGCCCAGAGACCAGCGAATATTGTAATCCTAATATGTACCATCATTATTTAACAGCAATAATCCATCTTGAAGATAACATTTCCTTTTGAAAAACATTGTTCAACTCTTCATAAAAATAAAAAATAAAAACCATAGCCTACCTATAGATTCAAAACTTATTTTTAAAAGCCAAAACAAAATTATTGAATATTTTTAGAATAAATTGACTTATTTAAAAAATAAATTTAATTAATTAATTAATCCAAAAAAAAAAAAAAACCGTGGGTGTGTATAATCAAAATCATTAAAAATAAAACATTATTCTTAAACCTCTTTAGGGTATACAACGATTACACATAACAAGCAGCAAAGCGAAATTACAAGTTCTCCCCCAATAACTCGCAAATACCTACAAATCACTCACAACATACGCATCTGAGACTTTACATACATCAATCCATAACAATAATAATAAAGGAAGGGGAAATCAACTCACAACTAAATACAAGACAGACAAATAGGCAACAATAGATAGACAATTTGGTTATTGAGCTTTGTGTGTGATTAAAAATACATGAGCTGCTGAGCAGCAGCCATATTCTGAAAGCCAGCATCATAGATAGCCTGGCTGGCTCCGGCGCCCAATGGCAAGCCCGCTTGCTTGAGGGCCGGGTTGGTCTGGCCGGGCATTAGTGTCTGACCTACCCCCATCTTGCTCAGTGCCAACGCCCTTTCATACGTAAGCAAGTCGGCGGCTGACAGTGTGGGGAATGGGGTTGCAGCTGGCGCCGGAAGAGGCTTCGAGACTGTTCCCGGCGGGGTGGGCTTGCTTCCCCATGAGCACTGCAACAAATTAACCAACGAATTAATGAATAAAAAATTGCTCCGCTTCACTAGCATTGCTCATCATCAATTCTTGAGTTGGTTTTTAAAGAGTCCTCATGTTGCTAATTGTCACATATTATTTTTGAAGTTATTAAATGCAAGATGTCTATTCCACAAACGTACACGATGAATACAAATATATATATATAGTATTAATGCATATTATTTTCCAAATATTATGACGTCATTTACTAATTATCACCGTATACTTAATGCTCTCCTATAGTGAAACCGGCATCCCTGTTAACTTCATCTTATCACATTTAGCAAGAAAAAGGAGCCAAGGAATTGGTCAAGATATGGCCATTTTTTCTGAACTGAAAATAAGAGTAACGATCTTCTTGCAGAGGAGAACATTCATATGAAAAAATGATAAACCTGATGAAATCTACATGGAAGCACAATTGTATGTAGATGCATGAAATTATTGGTAATGAATATGGAAGAACAATTGTTGCAATGGATAATCGGAGGCTCAGTTTTTGAAAAATGAACTCTACATGACCCCATATACAGAAATTGCTATATACTCTATTCCAGCAATAGGCTATAACAGTTTTACTTCTTACTCTTTGCAGGAGACCAGATTACTACAATAGTATTTAGAGAATATATGAGTGGCACGAGCAAAGTATATGTATGATACGGATAAAGAAATATGCACAGCCTAAGATAAACATGGAGTGAGAAAATTAGGAAGATTGGGAGAAAATGGTAATAGGTGGCTGATTACCGAGAAATATAGAAGAGATCATTGACATTTAGGACTTCTTCCTAGGACTAGCAAGGGACATTCATATGAAGTGAGTGCAGACAGAAAAATGAACTTTATTTTCTTGATAAAACTTGCAAAAAGCATCAAGAAATTCAGACCAGTATTTTAATAAATATACCCAATAACTCGAGAATGATCTTAATAAAAATAACATAATAGTGAAATCTTAAGGGACTCGAAGCATGACTTGAACTATCAACAATGATGATGGGTGACGAAGGAGATTATGCAATAAAAAACATAACTGTATGTTTCATGTCACATAAGATGGACCAGCATTCCAAAATTACAGCGTACCAATAGAAGCAACAGCATCAAAGCCTAAGAAAGAGATGGCCTACGAAAATGAGTAGGCATATGTTAAGGGAGGTGATCGTATTCTTCTTGAGAGATAATAACAAAGCAAAACTGGATGAATCAAGCAGACCAAAAGTATTTCGAGGTACTGATATTTCATAATGTAGAAGAAGATTGTCCCAAGAAGAGAAGAGATAAAATCCATGAAAAGAGTTGAAGGATTAGAGGATGAGACTGTTTAAAGGGGACATTTACATACATATCACACAATTCTTATATAATTACATATCTCACACCTAAACTTTCATATTTACGCACACAACACTCAAATCTTTAATATCACGTCAAAAAGAACCTCATTGCTATTTTTTGAAAGTAAAATACGCCTTTTCATGCATTGATTCAAGTAAAAAACTGCTGTGTAAATATCAAAGTTTAGGTGTGAGAAGTAAATACATAGGAATTGTGTGGTATGTAAATTTCCCTTGTTTAAATTATGGAGATATCAATGGGAGTGTAGATGGTTATAAAAGAGCCAACAAAAAAGCATGAGTGAGGGTGACATGCAATCCTATAAAAAATGAGCATGCGCAAGCACAAGACGATGAGCACAAGTTCAAAATATCATACATGCAAGCAGAAGCGTGGAGATATGATGAGCAGCAAGTGCAGGCGCAAATAGCAGCATACACGCAATGGCAGAACAGTAGATGCACGAAGGCACTATGTAGCATATCAAGTGCGGGCTCAAGTATCTAAAGTGGAGCACAAGGTGGGAGGACATATGTGTTGAATAGCCATAAAAGCACAGGTGGGATTGCAGTGAGCCTAAGGTGAGTAGGAAAAAAATAAAACCGATGTGTGGGCTCAGAATGCAACAATTGGGCACGCATGTAAGTGAGCTAGGATAGAGAGAGATCATGTGGGAGGAGAGGATGTTAACGCTAGGTCAACCATGCTTTGATATCATATTAAGTGAAGAAAATTTAATTATCATGTTCACTAAACAAAGATGACTATTTACACGAGTATAGAATGAGCATGATAAAAACGTAAAAGGAGAAGTTGAATGCATATTTTATCAGAGTATATACTCTCATAATAGAATGATATTAATTCCATAAAAATATCATATTCTCACATATACAATTTCAATGTGTGAATTTACCTACAAATCTTAAAAGCATACCTTAATCGGCTTTCCACCAAGAATGCGGCCATTTGCCATCTGAATAGCTAGAGAAGCTTCAGCGTGATTACTATATCTAATAAACCCAAATCCTTTATCACGTTGAATGCGCACTTCCTCAATCTGCCCAGCCCCAAGGGTGTGAAAGAGTCGATGGAGATCAACTTGAGTAACCTGCAATTTTAATTTCATATTCCAATTTAGAGCTTAGAAATAAAGAGTGAATAAATATAATAGAACTTGAAACATAAGCACTAAAAAACAAAGGCTTCTGAAACGTTAAATTAATAATGCTAGAAGCAAAAGGTCAGACTGAGCGGGGATCGCAACTAGCCTCTAGAGAAAGATTTCCCGCATAAACTGAAGTGCATTGTGGGTTGTTCTCGGGAGCTTCTTCTTTTGCACCTTCTTTAACATCTTCTGCACAAAATTTTGTAAACAAAATAAAATTTAAGAAAGAAACAAACTGGACAACCCTGACTAATAATCACTCAAATAAATGATAGAAATATACATTGAAAAATAAAGCATTATGATCTGCCAAGTAAAAGAACAAAAGTCAAATCGATGATAAATTTAAATATCCAAGGTTTTATCAGGTATAAGCCATAATTATCATTCTCTGACTAAATTTATAATCTATGAAAGTATAACTATAAATACTAGTATCTTAGAAATAAAATTGCAGATTCCTTGTTAAGCTAGATTTCATCTCCGTAATCGCTCAAATATTCGAGTTATTAAAGATATGTATACTAGAGTTGTTACTTATGTTAGGAACTAAAGGAGGATTGACCAAATATTTTCCAGTTTCTGTTGGATTACATCAGGGATCGGCTTTAAGCCCATATCTTTTTGCTTAGTTATGGATGGTCTTATTGGACATTTACAGGAGGATGTACCTTGGTGTATGCTTTTTGTTGATGATATCCTTCTCGTGGATAAGACGAGAAAAAAAGCCTAGGAAAAATTTGAATTATGGAGGTCTACATTGGAGTCTAAAGGCCTTCATTTGAATAGAACTAAAACTGAATACAAGGAATGTAATTTTAGTAGTAGTAGCTCTAGTGACAGAAGTGTAGCTTTGGGTGACCAAATTATTAAAAGGTGTGAACGATTTAGATATCTCGGTTTTGTTGTTCAAAGCGATGGTGATATAGATGAGGATGTTAATAGTAGAATTCAAGTTGGTTGGTTCAAGTGGAGGAATGTGTTGGCTCTTTTGTGTGATAGAAAAGTATTGCTCAGACTGAAAGGAAAATTTTATAAATGGTGGTGAGACCTGCATGTAGGGGTGTAAACGAACCGAACACGAACGAACAAAGCTTGTGTTCGTGTTCGGTTCGTTTAAGATTTAGTTTGTTTGAAATAAGCTCGTGTTCGTTTCTTAACGAACGGGCCGAACACGAGCTGTTCGCGAACGGCGAGCCAGTTTGACATCCCTAATATTAATATATATAAATAATATATTATATTAATTATATAACTTATATTATATAAATATATAATAT